TTCTTACTTTCAGATAATTTTGGTTATTTTTATTTCAAAGGATTTTGATTTGTTGACAGACAAGAATCGAGTGACTTATCTGTATGCATATTAAAATGCTGCGATTGATTGTTGTTCTAACGCCCTCTTTAGTCATACTGGCACTTTCGGAGGAGCGTGAACAGTCGAATCGGCAGAGAGACAGCTTCGGTAAACGTGATTTCTCAGATCATATCACGTTGATAAGGTGAGATGATTCTGTATTTGTTTGCTGAGTTATAATTCTCTGCCAATCACATTTATGAATGGATGAATTCTCTTAGATTTAGTCTAGACGCAGAATCTTACTTAGTTTCAAATTGTTGCAGTCGTAAAGATTGTTGCTTGTTCCAGGGCATTCAATGAGTTTAACGAGAAAAGTGCAAAGGAGGTGACCGCATTCTGCCGTGCCAACTATTTGTCTCTTCCGGCAATGCGTATGATCGCTGGAATACGGTACATTTCTTGTAAATATATATTTTTGCTATCTCATTTGAGAAAGGAAGTGATGGCGCATAGAGATTGTCAGCACTTAATCTGGTAGAGCACTTTTGGTACCAAAGGTAGTTCAAACTCCTTGTGCACCACTACCTTCTGTGCGCAGCATCTTTCTGGATGTGTCTTTGATTCAAAATTCTGTTGTTTTTCACATACTCGAAATCTTTGTAGCCGTCAACTTATCATTGAACTTCGTCGAGTGCGGATGATTACTTATGATGGTGACCCTCTCAATGCTCTTCGCGACGCCACTTACAACAAGTAAGCGGACATCGATCTATTTTCGTTCTTCTGTACATACGTTGTCGTACAGATACTCCTCTTGTTGGCCAATGGTACAAGCGGCAATCGTAGCTGGATGCTATCCCGGTATAGGATTTGTGAGAGCCGGTAATAAACTGAAGAAGATTAGAACGAGGTGAGCAAATTCAAGGTCTAAATCTTGGTTTTATTTTTATTTTAGTAATGAATGAGTTATAATTTCAGTACTGAAGCTGCTGCAACACTTCATCCATCTTCGGTGATCAAGCGACAGGTTCTAACAGCGTCAAAGAGAAGTGAAGTGATAAATCAGTACGTAACGGAAGACTCAGAAGATCCTGTAATTGAATACCTTGCATTCCATGAACTTGCGAAAATTGATGAAGGTCTAACGGTGAGGATCTCGACTTCCTTATTTTTTTGGGATTTATTTTGCAACTTGCGATCTATATTTTTTGTCTTTTAGTTACGTACTGTAACAGTCGTACCACCTTGTGCTGTTGTATTGTTTGCTGGATCAATGCGTCTGAAAAAAAGTACTATACAAAATTTCAACATCAGTAAGTTCTGCCTCGGTTCAGCCCTTTCACTTTGAAATCGTTTCCCAATTTCAGCTGACCCTGATTCTGAAGATGAAGGTGAAGTTGATGAGGATGCTCCATCAAGAGATGTCGTTTATCCCATTGAACACTGGATTGGTGTCAGAGCTACTTACTCGGTGCGTTTTCATGTCTTGTTCATCTTCAGAAGTTTTTTCGCAGTTTTTTTTGTGAATGTTGAGATTATCATTTGCTTTAAAAGTTGGCATCGGCTATACTGCCACCCCTTACCCACAAGGTTTCTTTCCGGTTATGGATTATCATAATAAAAGAACTTGTAGGGATTTCTAATACTAGGGTGAGTCAAAAGTG